TAGGGGTCAGGGTTCGGGGTTAGGCTCCACCCCCCCCTCTTAACCTCTATGTAATCTCGTGTCTCTCAGAGCTCGCTTCACTTGATACGGTGATTTTGCTGTAACTGTTCCACCTGAAGATGGAAGCTCGAGTTGCCTCCGAAACGTCGTGATTAATTTCATGTTTGACCTGCGTGACTTGACCGAAAAAAACAAAAGGCACGACCGCGCTAAACACGACCGAATAAAGAAACACGCAAAACAGCGTGCAAGTCTCACCCGAATCACTGCGCGTCTCGTTGCCGGGAGACATCGCCCCGCCCACGACAGTCTCCCCATCCTCCCGCCCCTCGGCCGGCAGGTGCCGCCCTCCCGGCTCAAAGGGCAGCATCTCGGCGGGCACCGCGGCGGCCGCGGGGCTCGGCACGGCGCGGGAGACCGCGGGCGGCGGCGGCGCCGACTTGTCGGCGGGCGCCAGCCGCCCCGGCGTGGCTCTGGCCGAGGAGGCGGCGCTGCTCCACATGCAGTCCCGCAGCAGCATTACTCCCACGGCTCCCACGCCGCTGCCGCCGGCGGGGTCCCAGACGTGGCCGCGGCTCGCCACTTCGCCGCCTTCGCGGCTCGGATCGCCCGAGGGCGGCGGCGTTGGCGTTGAGTTCGCTCCGTCCAGCGCGGGGGGCAGGAGCTCAAACTTCTTCCAAATGTCCTCGCTGGGCAGCGTGGACTGGTGCCAGTCGCTGTGCAACTCCTCGCCGTTGTAGAAGGTCGAGGAGGAGGAGGAGTCATCCCTGCCGGCAGACATTGCGTGGATGATGACGACGCTGCTGCTACACGTGGTGATGATGATGACGCTGCTGCTACTTTCGTCACGCGACAACACGCCGCGTGGTGGCGGGTAGGGGTTGTTGTTCTTGTTTACATTCCACCACCACCCTCCTCCCTGTTGTTGTTGCGTCTTGTTTACTTCTTCTGCAGGGGGCCGCCGGGCTCGCCTGTAACAACAGCAAACAATAAAGAAAGCAGCGTCGTTAACAAAGCGAGCAAACACCACACAGAGTCGTAAGTGGCGCTGTTACTCATCCACAGCTCAATTTCATTCATCTCCGGGACGTTAAATTTCGATTTAAAGCTTTCGTGACTGCAGGGATTCATCTTCTTGGTTCTTTCGGTAAAGTCGCGTAGAAGGGAAACAATAAAATAATAAAAATATAAAACAATAACAATTCTCACGACGTTTCGTGTTGCAGTCGACACGTCGTGAGAATTTTTATTGTGTAGTGAATACTTGGGACGCAAGAGGGAGCGCACACACAGGGTGACATACACACACAGGGTGACACACAAAGATCCCCCATATAGCCTTAACAGACTGTAGGGGCAAGTGCTGTTAGCAAGCACCTATGAAGGCCGGAACGGTACACGAGGGGGTGGGTGGCCAGCACCACGCCCGACCGCCTTTGTCTCCCTAGTGGCAATGTTTACACACCGCACCAGGTACTCATTTGAGGCTGAGTCGACCTAGGGAAGGCCCGGGACCGGTTCAGACAATCGTCTGATGTTGGCCGTGAGCAGGAATCGAACCCGGGTCGCCAGGTTCATAGCGCAGCACGCTAACCGCTACACTACCGCTCCCCATACAGCGTGACACACACACAGGGTGACACATACAGGGTGACACACACACACAGGGTGACACACACACACAGCGTGACACACACAGGGTGACACACACGCACATGGTGACACACACACACAGGGTGACACACACATGCACACAGGGTGACACACACACACAGCGTGACACACACAGCGTGACACACACACAGGGTGACACACACACACAGCATGACACACACAGGGTGACACACACACAGGGTGACACACACACAGGGTGACACACACACAGGGTGACACACGCAGGGTGACACACACGCACACAGGGTGACACACACACAGGGTGACACACACACAGGGTGACACACACACAGGGTGACATACACACACAGGGTGACACACACAGGGTGACATACACACACACAGCGTGACACACACACAGGGTCACACACACACACAGCGTGACACACACACACACAGGGTGAGACACACACACAGGGTGACATACACACACAGGGTGACACACACACACACAGGGTGACACACACACACAGGTGACACACACACACAGGGTGAGACACACACACAGGGTGACACACACGCACACAGGGTGACACACACACGCACACAGGGTGACACACGCACACAGGGTGACACACACACGCAGGGTGACACACACACGCAGGGTGACACACACACAGGGTGACACACACACAGCGTGACACACACACAGCGTGACACACACGCACATAGGGTGACACACACACGCAGGGTGACACACACACACACAGCGTGACACACACACACACAGCGTGACACACACACACACACAGCGTGACACACACACACACACAGGGTGACACACACACAGGGTGACACACACACACAGGGTGACACACACACACAGGGTGACACACACACAGGGTGACACACACACAGGGTGACACACACACAGGGTGACACACACACACAGGGTGACACACACAGGGTGACACACGCACACAGGGTGACACACGCACACAGGGTGACACGCACACAGGGTGACACACACACACAGGGTGACACACACACACACAGGGTGACACACACAGGGTGACACACACACACAGGGTGACACACACACACACAGGGTGACACACACACACAGGGTGACACGCACACAGGGTGACACACACACACAGGGTGACACGCACACACAGGGTGACACGCACACACAGGGTGACACGCACACAGGGTGACACGCACACAGGGTGACACACACACACACACACAGGGTGACACACGCACACAGGGTGACACACACGCACACAGGGTGACACACACGCACACAGGGTGACACACACGCACACAGGGTGACACACACACGCACACAGGGTGACACACACACGCACACAGGGTGACACACACACGCACACAGGGTGACACACACACAGGGTGACACACACGCACACAGGGTGACGCACACAGGGTGACACACACAGGGTGACACACACACACAGGGTGACACACACACGCACAGGGTGACACACACACAGGGTGACACACACACAGGGTGACACACACACACAGGGTGACATACACACACACAGGGTGACATACACACACACAGGGTGACACACACACACAGGGTGACACACACGCACACAGGGTGACACACACGCACACAGGGTGACACGCACACAGGGTGACACACACACAGGGTGACACACACACACACACAGGGTGACACACACACACACAGGGTGACACACACACACACGCACACAGGGTGACACACACACACACACACAGGGTGACACACACACACACACACAGGGTGACACACACACACAGCGTGACACATACAGGGTGACACACACACACACAGGGTGACACACACACACACACAGGGTGACACACACACAGCGTGACACATACAGGGTGACACACACACAGGGTGACACACACACACAGCGTGACACATACAGGGTGACACACACACACACACAGGGTGACACACACACAGCGTGACACACACACACAGCGTGACACACACAGCGTGACACACACACACAGCGTGACACATACAGGGTGACACACACACAGCGTGACACACATACAGGGTGACACACACACACAGCGTGACACACACACACAGCGTGACACACACACACAGGGTGACACACACACACAGCGTGACACACACACACAGCGTGACACACACACACAGGGTGACACACACACACAGCGTGACACATACAGGGTGACACACACACACACAGGGTGACACACACACACAGCGTGACACATACAGGGTGACACACACACAGCGTGACACACACACACAGCGTGACACACACACAGGGTGACACACACAGGGTGACACACACAGGGTGACACACACAGGGTGACACACACACACAGCGTGACACACACACACACAGCGTGACACACACAGATTACAATGATGACGACGATGAGACGCTTCGCTGAGCTGCCGTAAGTGACGGGAGAAGTCGGCGTCAGAGCAGGAGCTGTAGAGCCGCTCCCAGTGAAGTCCACCCCCAAGTGGCTGGTGGACTCGGGGTGACGAGTGATGGTGGGGGGGGGGCTACTCACGGTCAAGGGGCAGGACGAGGGGGGGTCACAGAGACGCCAGCAACGCCACGAAGCCGCCGCCGCCGGCAGCAGCAGCTGTGGTGGTGGAGAAAGAAGCCTCCATTGGGGTGGGGGCAGGGCGGGTGGTCGGACCCCGCCACCAAGTGGAGGGGGTGGGGGGGGAGGGAACTTGGGCGAGCCCATCTCGCAGTGGAGCTGGTGAGCGCCGCGGCCCATTGGCCGGGAGGGCCCCGCCTCTCCCCCCCCCCCCCTCAACATCCACCGCGGTGGTACAGGCCGGGGGGCGGGTGAGTCACGAGACACTGGACTGCACAGTGAGATGTCAAGCGTGAACAACGCGGTGCATTAGTTTATATCTGTGTAGGAAATAATACATTGTCAGTTTTTTTTCTTTTAAAGCACAGTTGGTAGATGAAGATTATATTTTAGGATTGTATAATGTTGAGTCTATGGTGCAGTGTTGAGTCTATAGTGCAGTGTTGAGTCTATGGCAGTGTTGAGTCTATGGTGCAGTGTTGAGTCTATGGGCAGTGTTGAGTCTATGGTACAGTGTTGAGTCTATGGTACAGTGTTGAGTCTATGGGCAGTGTTGAGTCTATGGTGCAGTGTTGAGTCTATGGTGCAGTGTTGAGTCTATGGTGCAGTGTTGAGTCTATGGTGCAGTGTTGAGTCTATGGGCAGTGTTGAGTCTATGGTGCAGTGTTGAGTCTATGGTGCAGTGTTGAGTCTATGGGCAGTGTTGAGTCTATGGTGCAGTGTTGAGTCTATGGTAGTGTTGAGTCTATGGGCAGTGCTGAGTCTATGGTGCAGTGTTGAGTCTATGGTGCAGTGTTGAGTCTATGGGCAGTGTTGAGTCTATGGTGCAGTGTTGAGCCTATGGTGGAGTGTTGAGTCTATGGTGTAGTGTTGAGTCTATGGTGGAGTGTTGAGTCTATGGTGTAGTGTTGAGTCTATGGTGCAGTGTTGAGTCTATGGGCAGTGTTGAGTCTATGGTGCAGTGTTGAGTCTATGGTGCAGTGTTGAGTCTATGGGCAGTGTTGAGTCTATGGTGCAGTGTTGAGTCTATGGTGTAGTGTTGAGTCTATGGTGCAGTGTTGAGTCTATGGGCAGTGTTGAGTCTATGGTGCAGTGCTGAGTCTATGGTGCAGTGTTGAGTCTATGGGTAGTGTTGAGTCTATGGTGCAGTGTTGAGTCTATGGTGCAGTGTTGAGTCTATGGGTAGTGTTGAGTCTATGGTGCAGTGCTGAGTCTATGATGCAGTGTTGAGTCTATGGTGCAGTGTTGAGCTTATGGGCAGTGTGAGTCTATGGTGTAGCGTTGAGTCTATGGTGCAGTGCTGAGTCTATGGGTAGTGTTGAGTCTATGGTGTAGTGTTGAGTCTATGGTGCAGTGTTGAGTCTATTGTGCAGTGTTGAGTCTATGGTGCAGTGTTGATGTGTCTGTGCGGCAGGATGTGGCACTGGTGGTGCCATGATCCACTCAGCATGCATCCTCGCACTCCCAAGACCCCCGTCCTCCCATCCCCTCCCACCACGATCCGATTGTGTTGAGAAGATTCCAGAAGAATGGATCATTCGTGTCATTTTTTATCCCCATCGACTGTGAACTCGCGCTTGAATTCGGTCGTTTTCCCTTCGTTTCGTTGCGTCTCTCTGCCGCTGCTGATCGAATGGCCGGCGATACCCCCTGCCTGCTGATCTCCACATCGTCGTCGTCGTTGTCGTCAACCACGCTCGATCCTCCGCGGAAATGAAGACCTCCCCCCATCCACGGCCACGCACCGACGACGTCACGTCTCCCACCTGTGCTTGAACACAACCGTGCGCGCTCCTCCCGCACCCCCCTTCGCAGGTAGCGTCGGGGCTACGCCAGCGACAATGACGACGACGATGACCACCGTCATCGCGACAATGCTGCTGGTGGCGACGACGGGGGCGGCAGCGGCGTCGACGGTGTCGGCAGACGACGCAAAGAAGCCTTCTCCGTCCCATCCGTACGGGCTGTGTCCCCCGGGCCACCGCGTCTCGCTGCCGTTCTCCACGAAGGCCGTGGAGGGGCAGCAGCAGCAGCTGGAGGACGCGTCCCACGTGGAGGCACGTTGCACTCGGTGCCCGCCACGCCACTACACCCAGTTCTGGAACTCCCTGGACCGGTGTCTCTACTGCGGCCCGGGGTGCAAGGAGGGTCAGCGGCTCGCGAAGGAATGCAGCCCCACGCACGACCGCGTGTGCGAGTGCGAGCCGGGCACCTTTCTGCTGCAGGAGTTCTGCGTGCCGCACAGAAGCTGCGCCGCCGGGCACGGCGTCGTCACCAAAGGCACGCACGGGGGGCGGGGGGCGGATACACCACGTGTGTCGTTGCGGTTCAGTCGGCGATCGATTCGCTCGTACCAAGACGCTACTCAATTATTGCGTCTTATTTAATTAGTTGAATCGATGACAGTTCCTTCCGCGTGACCTCCCCCATCAACCAAAATGCACGAACGCCCACACTCCCCATTCATGCATTCTTCATTCATTGTAGTACTTGGTTCTGCATGTCGCTCGGCTCGTACATGCACAGTCAGGATGTCCTCGCTAAAGGCGCGAGTGCACATGACCTATTCATTCGTGGAGAGGTGAAATCATTTGCGCATTATTTCATTTGTTCTGTTGCCTCCAATCACCAGTTGCCCATCGGGATAGAGCTTCTGCGTGCCCAGCACGAGCTTTCTACCCCACTCGGACATTAATTGGTTCCTATATGCATCCGTCTGATGATCATTCATTTGTTCATAATAAAGGTTCTTGGGTTAGGTCGCGTTATTTATAAATGCGTCATTTGTAAATGTATTTAGTCGTCAAGCCGGGCAATCTTATCACCACTTTCCCATCGCCCAGCTATCTCCCAGCCATCTCCCAGCGCCAATCAATGCCTATTCTCTTCTCATCTTTCTCTCTCTCTCTACGCATCTCTACATTCTCTCTTTCTGTCTGCCCGTGCACCCCCATCTCACGCTCTGCTCGGCACCGCAGGATCCCCGCACGAAGACACGTACTGCGCCCCGTGCCCTTGGGGATTCTTCTCCCCGGAGGTATCGGCGAATGCCACGTGCCGCCCGCACACAAACTGCTTCACTCCGGGCTCCGTGCAGCTGCTGCCCGGGGCCTCCACGCACGACGCGCTCTGCTGGTCCTGCCACGAGCGACGGGCGTCCGTGCGGAGTCGGGAGCATGGCGACGCGAGGCCGGCAGGTGAGCCGCTTGCGATGACCGCTCTCTCGTTCACGTGTTTCATACGGACGTATCGTTTTAGCGGCAACCGTAGATCGATGGCATAGTCGGAGAAGCAGCTGCTGGCTTCGGAGGGCAGCAGATGCCGTACTGGGTGATTTCATTTCATTTACACCTGATGACGATTGCTTGTGTTGCAATCGAAACGTCGTATGCCGGTAGCAAGACGCGTCACCTCTCTTCCCTCCGCAGGGGAAGATGGTGCCGAGCCTCCGCCGTCTAACCCGCCGCCCCAGCCGGAGTACGCGTGCGTGGACGCGACCCTGCGATTCGTGGACAGCGTCCGTCACCTGATTCTGCCGTGCCTGGCCCACCACGACACGAAGGAGGCCGCCTACATCTGGAAGCTTCTGGCCGGTGCCGCGAGGCGGCGGCGGCGGGAGCAGGAAGGGCGCAGGCAGCGTGGGGGGAACGAGACGAAGCGGGGGAGGAGGATGGAGAGGCAGCTCGAGATGCTGCTGGGGATTTGCGCAAAGGGAGCGTCGCCAGGAGGGTCGGTGAGAATGCACGCGACGACGACGGCGGCGGCGGACTGAATGTGGTCGAACAAGATGGGGGGGAAGGGCCTTTGAAATGGTCATGTTAGTCAAAAAAACGAGTTTGAGAATGTCCATCTTCTTGGTTCTTTCGGTAAAGTCACGTAGAATGGAAATAATAAAATAAATAGAATACAACATAATAAAATATATATTTATAAATAATTAACATAATAAAATTATACAAATTAAGCATGATAAAATATTTTATTACATTATTTTATTATGTTTTATTTTTATTATTTCCTTTCTATGTGACTTTACCAAAAGAACCAAGAAGATGAATCCCTGCAGTCACGAAAGCTTTAAATCGAAATTTGAGGTCTTCTACTGAAATTGGCTCAGGGCTCAGAAACATTGATATAGCAACCAAAGAGATGTTGCATTTAAATCCATGTGTCAGCTGCCCAAGCGTGGATACATTGGCTTCTTAAGACCAGTGAGTTGACTGCACGAAATTTGCCATCTTAAAATTGATTAGTCGAATAATTCTGGGTCTCAGAATAAAAAAATTAACCCGTAAAAACAAAGTTTTTCACTATAAATCCTTTATATGCGTGGCGGCTAGAGTCCTCTCGTCCTCTGGCTTGAGATGGCTGCCACCTATGGGTCAGATGATTGCATTGCACCATTAAGCAATTGGTAATTAAATATTATATTTTTGTCCTAAAAAGTGTAACATTTTGGAAAAAAAATTTCACGAACATTAATTGTCTCGCACAACGAGTCTGTGTACAAAATGTCAGCTCGATTGGATCACGGGAAGTGGGTTAAAAAACGACCGAAAGATTTGCACGGTCGTAAGCACGCAAGAAAGTGAACTTAATATAAAGGATTTAAAAACATTGGTTTGTTCGCCATGCGTGTAGGGAAGCTGTGGCTCCTGGTGGTAGTTCCACGTAGCATGCTTCTGCGGGGCGTTCTCTAACACGGGGTGATGCTCTGTTCTCCGACAAGATTGTAATGGACACTTAATCCCAAGAGATGACAGTTTTATAAGCTGTAGCCGGAGTTTTTCAAGCCCGTCGATTGAAGCCCTCTAAATGATCCAACATAGAACACTCATCGCATTAATTACATCAACTGGAGAGTGGCGATGAAGAGGTGTGATTAATACAATTACATTCTGTAAATTGAGACATGGCTTGTAACAGAGGACACAAATCAAGGTTACCGCATGCCACAAACTGCTTTGGAGACAACATAAAAGTGAATAAATTTCGATGTAAAGCTTTCGTGACTGCCGGGATTCATATTCTTGGTTCTTTCGGGAAAGTCACGTAGAAGGGAAATAATAAAA